GAAATCTAGAACAAAGCAACGATTTCTTTGCCTGTGGTGCTAGGGATTGATCTCAGGGCCTCTTGTGTGCTAAGCACATGCTCTGCCACTGAGCTATACCTCCAGCACAAAGGTAACATTTTATAGTAGTTCAGTTTTACCATTTAACTAGCTGCACAGTGCTGGGCAAGTTATTAAGCCTTCAAACTATAAGATTCCTCAGTTTAAAATCGGAATAAATGCCATCTAGGAGACAGGCTGATTGTAAAGATTAGGTAACTATGTGAAGTATCCAGCCCAGGCCCAGTGCACTATAGACATTTGGTTACTGATAAAAGCCATTGTTGGGTAGAAATGGGATCTGAGCTCAGATCATTCTGGAGAACCTACTAGACTAGTTTGAAATGGTCTAGGAACCTCTTGATATTCCACATGAAGTAAGGTAAGATATAAAAACTTGGATGCAATTGTTGATAGCAACATTACTCATAATGTCCAAAAAAGGAAACAAACCAAATCCCTGTCGATGGATGAATGGATGAACAAAATATGATACTTATTTGTTTATTCAAGCAATGAAATATTACTCAAATTTTAAAAATGATGTAATGATACATTCTCCAACATGAATGACCCTTGTACCAATTTTGAGGGGTGGTGCAGACTATTGATAAATTTTCCAATATTCTTGGGCTTTCATATATACATAGTTGAGAGGATTGTTGACTGAAAAAATGAGGGCAGTGGGCTGGGGATGTAGCACAGTGGTGCTGCAAAGCACAAGGTCCTGAGTCCGGTCCCTGGTACCACCAAAAAAAAAAAAAAAATGAGGGCAGAATGGGAGAGACTGAATCCCAGCCTTGTGCTTGGCCCAGCAATGACTCCTTCCAGAGGAAGAGGCACACTTTTATAATTTCCAAAGATGTCTGTGCATTAGGTTCAGAAACTCTGAGTCAGAGGAAACTACCTTCATCTCCCTGACCCCACCCTATTACCTCTGGTTTTGTTCTTTCTAGGTAGGGCCACCCAGGCGCCTGACTATGTCACCTGTGCTTCTCATTTTTATTCTCAAGCAAAAGAGCTGAAAATTGAACGTGAGAAGCCACAGAGATGAGGGAGGGAAGGAAAGGATTGAACTTGGGAGGAAATCAATTAGATGAAGAAGTGAGGAGAGACCTTAATTACTGGGTGGTTACCCACACAGTATTCTTTTGATAGCTTTGGGCAGCTCTTGCAGAAGGCTGACTGCTCTTGACCTCCATGGTCACAAAGACCAAGGTAACATTGGTGCTTTGGAGCTTTTAAATGAGGGTTGGTAGGTGCTGTAGCCTAACTTCTCCCTTTACTGTGTATCTTTAAAAAAATATTTTTATGGGCCAGAGATTTAGCTCAGTGGTTCTGTCACCTGCCTCACAAGTGCAAGGTCCCGAGTTCGATCCCCGGTACCAAAAAATAAATTTTTTTTACTGTGATAAAATAAACCTAAAATTTATCACCCAGGACTTTCACGCACTCATAATATTATACAACCATGGTCACTATCTAGTTCTGAATATTTTCATAACCCCTAGAAAAAAATCCTGCACTCCATACTTCTCTCCCCCAAGTCCTTGGCAACCACTAATCTATTTATGCCTCTAGGCCTTTGCCTGTTTTGGACTTTTCATATAAATGGAATTATGTGACAAGTGGCATTTTTTGTTTGAATTCTTTTAATTACAATCGTGCACCTTTAAAGGAGCATCTATATTATCAAGTGCATAGCACTCTATTTCTTTTCATTTCTAAGTAATATTCCATTGAGTGGCTATACCACATTTTGTTTCTCCAGTCATCCATGGATATACACTGGGGGTTGTTTTCACTTTGGGGCCATTATGAATAATGTTGCTATGAACCTAGCATGAGTTGCTATGAAACTAGTGTCTGAGTTTTTGTTGTGGTATCAAATTTGGCTGCATATCCTAGTGTCTCCATGTCTTTTGACTCTTGATTTGTGTGAGGTCAGCCAACAAGAGGAACTTCGTTTTTGTTGGGGGTGCCGGGGATTGAACTTGGGTCCTTGCACTTGCGCAGCAGGCAGTGAAACCACTGAGCTAAATCCCCGGCCCAAGAGGAACTTCTTCCTAAGAAAAGAGAAGGTAAAGGGACAGCAGCTGTCTCTGTTGATAAAGGGAGTGCAGTCAGCTGGTAGACGGGGGAGGACCTGTGGCTGTGTGGTGGGATGGACACCACCTGTGCCATGTTGCTGAATTAGGAAATAAGTACGTTTGGCCTGGGTGCCTCCTGCCTTCTTTTGTCACCTCTGGGTCTTCCCTGGCTCTACATCCAGGATGCCTTCCCTGAAAGATTTCCTAGTCAAGGGATGACCTCCTTGGTCATCCATGCCCCACATGTAGACTGGGCCTTCTTCTGAACTCACAGGGCTACTTGGATAATTAATCAGGGCCATTGTAAAGAGAAGAGCACTATACGCCTGAAAAGAAGGGACAGTCACCATATTTCTCTTTTGGAGGAGGGTCAGAAGGATGGGTCTGCTTGCTCTCTGGTCTACTTATTGTCCACCCTTCTCTGTAGAACATGTTGGCTAGCACCTTCAAGTGTTAACCGCTCTTGCAGGTGTTTCCCCAGTAGTCTTGGAAACAGAAACCTCAGAAAAACAACTGTTGGTGGCAACATCTTATACTCGATGAAGGTGAGGCTGGGTGTGCTCACCCCAGCTTCAGACCTCAGAAGGCAGAGCCTGGGGGAAGCCCAGTCCCACTCTGCCCCCCTCCTATGGGAGCCTCCACTGATTGGCCACTCCTGACATCAGCCCTTTGCTAGGTTTCCAGTGTGCGAATGTTTATCTTACTAGCAGCTTTTGTAAGTGGGCTGACATTAGCATCTTTGATTTTGTAGATGCGGAAATAGCCTGGCTGAGTCATTCACCTAAGGTTATGTGGTTACCACGTGACCCTGTTAGGCTTGGCACTGAGGCATTTTCAGCCTGAGGTCTGAGAGCTGTTTTTACTCTGCCTCTGTGGTCCCTCTCTCTGGGACCCATTCCTGGCCACAGTTGTTTCTGAACTTTGTTTAATCCCCTGTAACAATTCCCTATTTTCTCCCCAGTTATTGGGACAAGCACCAATAAGGCTTTTCCTTTTTGGGTGCTTTGTAATATTAGACTCAAGGAAAGAGAACCTGGCATCATACCCCTCTGGTTCTAGAAAGTTATCTTTGTAGGCAAACATTCATTCTTAAGCCCCATGGTCCTCCTATGCCTGCTTTACTCCCAATCCCCCTGGCCAAAATATATATCTGCTGTACGTGGGTAATTCACACACACATTTACTTTGCTCCTCTTTAGCCTACTTGTCTTGCATGTGTTCTGGCTGTCTTCCAGTCCTGAAGAGGTTATAGGTGGGTGTGGAGGCCCAGGAAAACCTGCTCGGGTGTGAGCTTGTGCATAATGGACATGTGGTTCTGAGGAGGGCGGCCTGGCAGGACACCACACTGCTTTTGACCCTGATGCTGTGCACCTTACTGTCTTGTTTAGAAAATGACCTTCCGTGTGGAATCACCGAGGTGCCGCGGGCTTGTGGATACAGGTGTGGAAGCCAGAGACATCCAGGACACAGGACAAGCTTTCAATTAAGTTGTAAAAACTCATAGTGAAACCTACACAGTAGCTACACAAAGGGCGAGAGGGAGGCTGTGCTTACTCAAAATCCCAGAAGCAGCTAGGATTTACTGATAGCACATTACTTGCCACACCTGATGGCATGCAGACCACTGCAGGAAGCAGGGACTCTTGGTGTTTCAGCCTTTACCAGGCAGGAAAGCTGCCTGTGAGCTCTTGTTCCCACCGCTCCCTTATGCTATTTTCCTAAGCAGTGGTCATCAGTGGCAAAAAAAAAAAAAACCCACACCTGTGGGCCTGGCTAGGAGATGCTAAGGACGTTGGGGAGCCAGTGACCTTTATGTTCCTGAATAGGCTCCCACCTTGATCTTGTGATTCAGATTCTTATTTTCATAAATTTCCTTTCTTCAAAAGGCATGATAATCATGTGGGCTCATTTTAGACCCTCTGTCCTTACTTCTAAATGTTCTTTTTTTGTTTTGTTTTGTTTTTTTTGGTACCAGGGATCGAACTCGGGTCCTTGCGCTTGCAAGGCAAGCGACGGAACCACTGAGCTAAATCCCTAGCCCACTTCTAAATGTTCTTTAGCTAAAAAGTTTTGTTTTTGTGTTTGAGAAAATTTAGATGGAACAGATAAGTAGAAAGAATAAAAATTAGTGATAATTCTACCACCAGGGGATTGCAGATATTTATCTACTCCATATATAGTTTTTCTGACATATATATTTTTCTTACTATTTTTTAAGAATGTAAATACTGTGGATGGTTAGAAGATTCAAACTGTATATAACTGCATACACTGGAAACTCAGTATCTTCTTTGTCTCAGAATCCCAATTCTCTTTGCCAGCATGTTTTGGATACTTGGTAAGAAGAGCCCCATCCAATTCTTCATGGCTTATCTCTGTTACTACCGAACGTTTTACATCTTGGGCTGCTATGACTTGCATTAATTACCTCTGCTAGGTTTGCACAGCAGGCTTAGGGCTTTGTGTGCTGCAACACTCAGTGGTTCTGTGAATTCCAGGCCACAGATTCCACAGCAGGAGCTCATGGAGTGATAGGACCCCTGGCAAGTTCAGTACCCCTATGGTTGATTTGTGAGAGGTGTGAAGAGGAGAAAGCCCAGCTCTGTTAGTTGCCTGGCTTTTCCCTCTATGCTGTGATGGAACTGTCCCTTCTGCCAGGGGCTTTTGTAAAAGCAAGCACTCTTCATATCACATGTTCATGTCGCCCCTGAAAGCACATGTACGTTGCCTGTGACCTTCCTCCCCAGGGAACCATGCTGTCCTCACCACTAAACAATTTCAGGGTGACTTCACCACCCTCTGACTTTTCTGGTTTAAAAACAGTTGCAAAAAATGTCAAACGTGTGTGACCTTTTCTTTCCTCTCCAACAGAAGCCTGGAATGGTCCCCCCTCCACCAGGAGAGGAAAGCCAGACCGTCATCCTCCCACCTGGCTGGCAAAGCTACTTGTCTCCTCAAGGCCGGCGTTACTATGTCAACACGACCACCAATGGTAAGTCCTACTTGGGGGCACAGCCTGCAGCAGCCTTCAGGTGTCTGTGTCTCTAGAGAGGCACGTGTCCTCTTCCACCTCCTCTCCCTGGTTTTATAATTTTTTCTTGATCAATCTATGCTAACGCTCTTGGCCCTGCAGTGCTGGGTGGTAGGGGTCTGAGCCTGGGTCTGCAGTTCTGGAAAAGTCCTCAAAAAGGAAGCCTTCTTTTCAAGGTTCATGTCATCCCTGGAACCTCATATCCTCCCTGGGCACCTTCGTTGAACCCGATCTCGGGGTTTGGGGTTGTATTTTTCAAACAGGACCTTGAAAGCTTTCCACGGGGATTTCAAAGCTAATTTAGATCAAGTTAAACAGGAGTGACTGTGTATTTTCTTGGTATTCTGAATGTCCTAATGATACTGATGTTCCAAAGGAGAGAGTACAAATGAGTGGTTTCCCTAATTGTACTTTTTCATTCTCCTGATGTATCTCACCAGCTGGCATTTCTCAGAATGTCCTTTAGGAAGTGCTGGGTCTACGGGTGGATTATTTATCCCAGCAGATGGCAGAGAGTCCATGAGCATTTCTGAGCTGAGTAGGACTGCACCTCTGTGCCCCAATTATTATGGATTTCCTGGGCCTTCCAAACAACTCCAGGATCCCATATATGGACTGGAATTGGTTTGGAAAAGGTTGTGCAGTCTTGGCAATCTGTCCCAAGATGAGCAGGGCTGTTCAGGCTTGGTCATGGGCAAGACAGCGCAGAGCAGACCAGCTAGGAGCACTGTGTCTTGACCTCCGTGACCCCCAAGGACTTTACCGTGAAAGGACCAAGAAAAGCAGCACAGGACAGTTAGATTTAATAGGGATCTTAGGCATGCAGCCGAAGTGGAACAGAAGGTGTACCCAGATCCACCTGTTGGCCCAGCCTTGGCTTCTCAGTTCTCTGGTCTGTCCCCTCTTGAGTTCATGGCCACCGCTTGTCTCCTGGGGTGGAGGATCATTAACATGGGTTAGGGTTATGATCCTGCGCTAGGGAGAGGCGTCCTGGGGGCAGGAGAGCCAGCTGTTGTTTAGAGGAAGACACTGACAGCTGACAGCTGCCATTCTGGGTGGCGGGTTTATTCAGACCTCCTGGCACCCGACCTTCTGCAGGCTCAACTGGAGTGTTCTACTTGAAGAGGTGACTGGTGTTTCTAGGAAAAGGGAAGTAGGACTGTTTTTAACTGTCCTAATTGCACACTTCCTCAAAACAAACACAAGAGCAGCTTTGTCCTATTACTGAGACCCGAAGTTTCAGAGGAGCGTGTGTTTGTACATAGTTCCCCATCTGAAGGAACAATGCAGAATTTGGTGGTAAAGACTTGCCTAGCATGCATGAGACCCGGGGTTCCATCCCCTGTACCATGAATGAATGAATGAATGAATGAATGAATGAATGAATGAAAAGTCCCTGGTTCTTTTCCCAGAGGTACTTATCACATATATCCTTCCAGATATTTATATTCTGTCACCTTCTAAACATGTATATGCTTACTTTAAAAACAATAAATTGAGGAATATTATCCATGTTGTATTTTAAATTATTTCGACAAGGTATTAGAGATATCTTTTTCTACTTTGTACATTTCCACTTAACTCATTTCTAATGGTCGCATAATAGATGATAGTGGATTCCATGAGTGGGCTACCACTAATAACAAGCACTCTCCTTGTTAATGAATTCTTAAGTCACATTTTATATCAACATACAGTGTGTGGGAGGTTTTTTTCCTGGGACTTGGACTTTAGCATCAGCCACTGGCTCAGAACCTTTCTATAGGCTCTGGGATACAGAGATCCCAGTGATGTTCCAGGCCACAGGGAGACTGACTTTCTCTAAAGGACCTAGGAGTGAATATTTTAGGTTTGGAGGTCACATGTCTTTGTCACAGCTATTCCACTTTACAGTTGCAGCCAAAAAGCTGCCCTAGATGGTATATAAGCTGTAAGTACAGTTTTGTCCATTAAAACTTTATATATAGATGCTGGATGTGAATTTCAGATACCATTTATGTGCTATACAGTGTCATTCTTCTTTTGATTCTTTTGCAGCCATTTAAAAATGCAAAAGGTAGAGGCTGGAGATATGGTATAGTGGCAGAATATATGCTTAGTATGTGAAGGGCCCTGGGTTCAATCCCCAGCGCCAAATAAATAAATAAATAAAGTATATCAAAATGTGAAAGATGATTTTAGTTTACAGATTCATGAACCTTATGATAATAGGGGGTAGGCAGGGTTGACCCATCTCATTTGCAAGGTAGTCTGTCAGTCTCCAGTAGGACTGGCTCTACTTACCCTCCCCCACTTTCCCTTTTCCACTGGGGGTAATCCTGCTTCCTTGTCTTGCGTTCTACATGATACATGCCAGTTTCATTCATCATGTAGTTGTTTTATTGGTTATATATCTACTCAATTGACTGAGTCATCATTCATTCTTTTTTTGTTTGTTGGTTTTCTGAGACAGGGTCTCACTATGTCATTCAGGCTGGCCTTGAACTTCTGGTGATCCTCCTGCCTCAGCCTCTCCCAAGTGCTGAGATTACAAGCATGTGCCACCATGCCCAGCATCATCATTCATTCACTACACAGTTATTAAGCCTCAGATATGAACCAGCTGGAGTGTCCCTGAACTCCAGTTGCTGATTTTCTTATAGTTAAAACAGATTTTTAAATTAACACCCATGTGCTTAAAATCTTGAGAAGGGCAATGAAGGAGAAGTCTGGGGTATTTGATGAATATGTCACAGAGAGACCCTTGGGGGTTTCAGGAGCTTCCTGGTGGAGGGGGCACCTTTCGGCTGGGATGGGAAGAATGAAGGGCTAGGGATGGGAAGCTCCTCAGTAACAGCAGAGAGTCAGTCACTGTGCTGGCCTCGAACATCATGTTAAGGATTTTGCTCTGCACCTAAGGGAGGAGGACGCAGCTGTTTTTCTGACTTTCCTTTGGAATTCTTGTTTTGCCCTTTTGGAATCTGACTGCTTTCTGCAGGAAAATCCCTATTGGAGCAGCCACTCATTCTCCTCAGACCTGCCTTCTTCCTTTTTGATCTGGAAGGCATCTGAGTTAGTGCCTCACTGGGGGCCAGCTGTGCCCCCCTTTCCGCCCTGACTCTTGGCTCTCTCATGCATGCACTTCATGCTGAAGCCCTGTCCCTCCCTCTCCCCTGGCAGCAGCTCAAGCACACACCAGACCCACTGCTCACTGTTAGAAGCCACTGAGGTCCATTCCTCTCTTCTCCTTTGTCTACCTTTCTTCCAACTACAGTCACTCTCAGTAGCAGTAGAGGATTGGTTCAGGACCCCTGGATGGTGCCTAGGTCCTTTACATAAGATAGCAGGGTATTTAACAGGGCCCATGCACAGCCTCCTGTATGCTTTCCTACATCTCTACATTACATGTTATAGCTAATACTATGTCAATACTGTGTAAATAGTTGTTATACTGTATTGTTTAGGGAATAATGACAAGCTAAAGAAAGCCTGTACATGTTCAGTGCAGATGCAAGAACATTTTCAATCTTCCAAGGTGGTAAAAGAAGCTGCCAGTGCGGAACCACAGATACAGAGGGCTGCCTGAACTTCTCGTCATCCTTCCCATAATCCCTAATCTCTCTCCCAGAGGTGCTTAGGCATAAGTGTTCTGTCCTCTTTTATACACCACATACAAATATAACCGTTTGAAAGCCTGCTTTTCAATCGTGTCCCCTTGCTCCGGCTAATCTGCTTACTTTCCTATTAGGATTTCATGAATGAGGATTGTTATGGTGCAAATCACCATGCCGGGCTTCAGGCACATAAAATCATACAAGATGTCTTCTCAGCTTTCAGAGACAATAGTTCTAATGGGGCCAGAGAAATGTGTACACCTACAAGCATTGTGAGGATTGGCAAGGAAATCTAGGCCCTCAAAGGAGAAATGAGGCAACTTTATCTGATAATCAAAAAAATCTTGGGGAGGGACACCTTGATTCAGGTGTTTGAGTCAAATTGTAGCCCAAGCAAAGGGCAAAGCAATAGGAGAAAGAAAGGAATAGGAAACAAAGATGAGAAAAAGTTAGGGGTCTGACCTACAAAAGGCTCCTTGAGGCACATTGAGGAGCAAGGTCTTTGTCCCATGGACAGTGGGAAGCCAAGGAGAGTTCCCGAGCAGTGGCATGACACAATCAGGATATTGTGGCAAGATTGCTCATGCAGCACAGTGAACGATTTGAGTGAGCATGAGTCTGACAGCCTCAATGAGAAGAGAAATAATGAGGTCAAACACCAATCTGCAACGGTGGCTGTGAGGGAGGAGGTGGAATCTGTCAGCCAGGATGTGGCAGGTCAGGGATGGGGAGAGCTTGGATTCACCTAGCTTCCTGCCTTGCATGACAGAGAGGAATAGGTCTGGAATAAAGAAAATGAATCTATGTTAAGTGTATGGCTCATTGAGGGGCATTCAGGGCGAAGTGGTCCGAGTGTGTTTGGATGGCTGGATCTGGGTTTTAAGGGATACCTGGGCTAGAGATGGGACCCTGGAGAGCCCTGTGGGTACATGGCCCTGCATGAAGAGGGCAGAATGAATTTTCTTTTTTTGGTACCGGGGATCAAACTCAGGACCTTGTGTTTGCGAGGCAGGCAAAGTGCCACTGAGCTAAATCCCCGGCCCCAGGGCAGAATGAATTTTAACCCTCCTTGCCCTCTTGGACTGGTCACCAGTGGGTAGTGATCAACCTGCACAGCCACATGGGCTGGCCTAGAATGTGTATGTCTTCATGAGAGAGCTGCACATGGCCCAGGGCAAGCCCTCAGGAGATGGTCCTGTAACACAAAGTGTAAAGCAGGGGCCAAGGAGACTTCAAAGGGATTGTGAGAGACATGAAGAATCTAGGAAAAGATGGTGTCATGAAAGGCAAGGGGGAAAAGATTCTCAAAGGAAGGGGAGTCACTGAAATACAAACCAGATTTATGGTAGCATGATTGTTTAAATCCCA